TTCGTGATGACTTTGGCGATCTTGGTCAAGCGATGGAGGGTGCAGTGTGTCGGGGTTCGGGTTTCCGTCGACATGTACATATACATATATACATATATACATATATACATATATACATATATACATATATTCATATATACATATATACATATATACATATATACATATATACATATATACATATATACATATATACATATGTACATGCATACAAACATACATACATGCATACATACATACATACATATACGCATATGTAGATTTGCGTTTAAAATGGCATAAAGCCTATGTATGTATATGTATTTACTTATATATATATATATGTATATATATATACATATATACACACACACACATATATATGTGTATACATATATACACATGAGTACACACACATATATATGTATACATACAGTTATATATATAGATATAGATATAGATATAGATATAGATATAGATATAGATATAGATAGGTTCAGCAACACAGGAGGCCAACACATATATATATATATATCTCTGTGTGCGGGGTGTCAATTTCTGATAAGTGCAGCAGCCCTGTGTGCTTCAAGCAACGTGCCTTGTCATTCGTGCGATGATGGTGCCCAGAAAAGGCCTGGCGTGACCGCACTTCAAACCCTCATGTTTCAAGATCGACAGCGTTTGGCATGCAGACCTTGGAGCTCACTGCCCTTAGCGACGGCGCGACCTCCATGCTGGCGGAGCCAAGCTCAAACAGCGATTGTTGCGACCGTGAGTGTAGAAGTGTATTTGGGAGAAACTCATAACATACACACCAAGGCACAGATCAAAGCCACGTGCATGCCTCAGAATGTCTTGTCTTGAACCCAACCAAGAGCGTTGGCCTTGATCTGTGCTTTGCTCGCAGTGCAATGTAGCGCTTTCTTGCTCATCTCGACCGCACTGACGGTTTGCGGTTTGGCAGTCATGGTGTCGGTGTGCCATCATGGGGCCGGTTCCGAAGACAGAGGAGGAAGACAAGCAGGTGCAGGCAGGAAGAACTTTGCAGAAAATATGGACATGTGATGACATGTGATGACATTTGTGAACCTCGAAACCTTGAAAAATTGTGTTTTGGAGGCCAGCCTGGTTGCTCCGATTCCACCGACCCTGGTGCGGCCAGAATGGAGCCAGAGCGTTGACTCTGTGTCTGCGAACGGACGATCCTCAAGTTCTGGTTCCTCGGATGAAGACAGTCTTGCCGACCTCCCGACACCGGGGTTGTGCGGATGCAGGCGGGGAAGAGTCTGCGGAATAACAGGCAAGATACGGGAGTACAGACGGGGAGCGAGGCCCACGGCAGGGCGAGTGTAGCCGGGAGAGGGCCCTAGACTTGCAATAAAAAAAAGAATAAGCGGTCAAGTTTCAAGAGTGAGAATTGGATGCTTGAGTCGTACTTCTGGCTCCTAGGACGATTCCATGGCGAATTTCAGGACATGGCTCACTGCCTCAGTCCGGCACTGAAGCTTCTAGATTCGCCTAGATTAATTCCGTGGAAAGTTGCAGCGAGGTCGAGCGAGTGGCTCTGAGCAGCTCCTCGCGTTGCAAAGCCTGTGTGAGGCTTTGCAAGATGGAGGCGCGCGGGCCGCGGAGCCGCTTCCGCTTCCGTGTAGTTTCTGACAAGTCTCAGGGCACGATGCAGCCGAGCGTGCCTGTGCTGCTGGAACGGTAGAGGCGGACTGCTCTTTCCTCATGTGGCCGAGTGATATGGCACGAGCAAAAGCAGGTGTCACTTGGGCTGCTGCGTGCAGGTGCAGGCGACGCTCTTCTTCTTTCTGTTGACCTTGCGTTGTAGTATTTGTCCCTTTGCAAAGTTTCATCACCAGCATCGCTGCTACAGCACGGAAGTTTTGGTTTTAAGTGGCTAAGTGTGAAGTTTTTGCAGCCCATCTCTTCCAACTCGTGATGCATTCACTCCGAGCGAGATCGCTAGCTAGGGCCAAACTTGCTGTTTGCTTCTTTTGCCGTTTGGAGGTCGGAGGTTTTCAATGCAGAGTTCATCGAGGTTTGGGGGACGTGTCTCATGGTCGAGGTGGTTCGGACTTCCAATGCAAAGCATGTAATATCCTCTCCTCGTCATCATCCTGGTGGACGCAAAGACCTGAGATAAAGTGGAATCTGACACATAGATACAGACAAGCGAAATTGGAGGACTTCAAACCTGTGACCGAGCGAAAGCATAGATTGCTGGTTACATCCACAGCATGCGTTGGCTCAGGGAGAGCAGAGCAGTCACAGTGTCTTCTCCAAAGTTGTGCTTTAAGAGGCACAGTAGGTGTTAATCGGAGTAGGGAGCCATGCGTGTACAGGCACGTCTCCAAAGCCATGGTTGTGCGCAGCCCACGACGCCCGGTGGTTTCATGAGCAGTGCTGCAGTGCAAGCTTCGAGAAAGCTTGACGGATTTCGATTTCGCGCTCTAGACGCATCCCTTGCACCTGGCATTGCCCGTTGTCAGCTGGCAGATCATGCTCATGATCGGCAATGCTTCTGATGAAGTGCGTGAAAGCGCCACAGATTCTCGCAGCGGCTTTGGTAAGCTGATATACAGTCCTGTGGGGTATGGGCACCACGTCAGTCTTATGGCCCAGTCGACGAAAAGAGCTGACGAGACAGATAACTTGCACCCCAACAGAATGGCAGGGCACTGAAGACTTCCGGTGGTCAAAAGACCTCGCCATCGATCCTGAATGTGACAGTGGTGTCCGAGCTCAAAATGCAGGCAGTACACCATTCTATGGATGTCCTGGAGTAGCATCCAGATGTGCGACCAATGCGGTGGATGGAATCCTGCCATTAGCCGCGAAACTCGCGGCACTGAACAGCTTCGTAAGCGGCCAACACGAGGCGGGTTGCTGTGGTAGAGCAAAGTTTCCATCTATTTTGGAATTACGCTTTCAAATGTTTTGTCAGCGCCTCGTTTGTGGGAGGGGAAGTGTTGCTGTTGCTACCTTCTACGCAACTCCGTGAAGACAAGCATTGCACTCACGAGTTCGATTGTTAAGGTTGTATTGAAGAAAAAGCTGCGGTTCGTTCGGGCCTGGTGAGCTTGTAGACTTCATACAATAGGGAATTTCGTCTTCCGCCTAGGTCACTCATTGCGAGATGTCGTTACATATTCTGTCCTGCCATGCCCTTTTATTAGCACACAAGGAAAAGCACGTGAGAGGAGAGCTATGGGTAAGCCGGTTGTCCAATCCGACGCGTTGTCAGGGCATGTTTTTGGTAGGTTTGTTCATTCCTCAGGATCTGTAGTTCTTTAACTTTACAGAGATGTTAGTGGGAGAGGTTTTGAAGTTTTCTATCACGCCCTGGATACTTTTGCCCTTTGCAGGTAAATGCCGGCATGGGACTGCCACGTTTTGCAGTGTGGCAGAAGCAGATTCCAGCTCACTGGCACTTTCCCAATCCAGAGGTCCCGCGACATGTGCTCCTTAGCCGGTGTTAGAGTGCTTTTTCAGAGCCTCGTTAGCATGGGTACATGGTTTGTGCTCATGTTCAGAAGGCAGAGCGGCACAGCAGTGACTGAAGCAGTGGGCCAACTAAATGGCGGAAAGTGGTGCATGCGTTGTCGACAAGCACTGATGAGTTGCAGTGCATGCCCTGTGTTCAAAGTGTTTCGAATTGCTCGGCGGCAGCGGGCTCTACTCTGAGGCGGTCTTCACGGAGATTCCAGCCACGGTGGTCAGTGATGCCTTCGAGATCGAAGTCCACCGTTACTAGGACGAGCCACCGTTTTTGTTGCAGTGTTGTTCTCCTATCATCGGTCAGGTAGGTCTGGGATAGGAGGGTCACACAGCTGCATGTGATCAGCTGCCTGTTCAGGAACATGTCTGATGTGAAATCCTGCCGTGGCCATTTTGGGTCGAGGCGATCGCCCTCGAAGGTCCACGAAGGACCTGTTTTGTGCGAAAGGAAAGCTCTAGCGCCTGGGATCTGAGCGATGGCTGGTTGGTGTCAGGATTGGGATGCTCAAGGTCAGGGCCGTGACGACCAAGGTCATTGCCGTGATCGCGGCCAGCAGGGCAGAGGATATGGCCGTGGTTATGGTGGCGGTCGCAGTCGCAACGACGGTCGCCGCCGCGGGAGTTGTGGTCAGTTTCCACGGGCCGCTCACAACCCTTACGAAGTTCGCCTTCCTCACTTCCTGGAGTCGATCGCTGAGCCTGTCCCTCTTCGCCAATTATACGCTCGACGGCGTCAAGGCTACCGTGGCGATATCGTCGACTCGCAGACGGGGGGGCACCATGTGGTGGATGGGATCGTGCGACAGCGAAAGCTCTCAGCCATGTGGCTTTTCAGCCCTTCGGTTGGCCCATCCTGAATGACACCTCGCCGTCTTACACGGACGTGAGGATCCGAAACGGGACCGAGATCTTGTTCCATTGGATCTTCAGACGGTTCCGAGCAGACACGGACCTCTGGGTCCGACAACAGTTCGCCGATGAGTTCTTCATCCGATGCGTTTGCCGTGGACGGGCGGCTTCCTCAGGCTGGCGAGTCTCCGTTTTCTCGTTCGAGTGTGGTGGTCGTACCTACTCGGTCGGTCGCAGGCGACAGTGCGTGTTCGCGCTTTGAGCTCAGCGTGACGGTGTCGCATATCAGCGGCCGACCCTCATCCAGAGGATCACCCGCTGCAGGGAACAGCACGCTTGCGTGGAAGGCCTGGCGGCTGCTCACCAACACTGGTCGCAGAACGCGCCGTCACCCTGGATGCGGCGAGTGTGGGGGTCCTCGTCACTTTCGTGGCTGGACTTGACGCAGGCAACTTCCATGTCCAGGCAGGGAGCAGGCTCTATCTCCGCGAGGCACAGATCGTTGCCACAAGGGCGCTCACCGAGATGACTCATGATGGGGCTGCTCTCGCTTCGGTGCCGAGGGGCCCGCCTGCGCTCTCGCAGGGTGCTTGGTGTGCTGCCTCTGAGTCAGCACAGGCCGACATGCCGTCGAGTTCTTGGGAGGTGGCCGTTCCAGATGTTCGCGGAGGTGACGGGTTTGGCTGGCTCCGATCTTACTGAGACAGCCCGCTCGGGAAGAGCAGGAAAAAGGACGGGACAGCATGATCACGCGAAGTGGTCCCAGCAGTTCTGCTTCTTTTCTGAAGTCTCCTTCAAACTCCGTGAAGCCAGATTTCTCATGCATGTTCATGTCATGTTCTTGACCGGCCGAGCTTGCACTGTTTCTTCTGGATGCGGTGACATGTTCTTTTCTGCAGTGCGTGTCCAGTTCTGCTACATGTCTTGCGTGCAGCCAGTGGACAGGCTGTGACATGTTCTCTGTTCGATTTACATGTCATGCGGTCATGTCGTCCGTTCGTTCGTTCTCCTCTCTCGGGCGGGGACACACGGGGTCTTGGGGTGTCGGGCGGGCTGGGTCGAACAGTTACTTGATTGATCGAGTTGGACCGCCGGTTCTCGGCCTAAGTTCTAGGCAGGATGCTGCAGGATGCAGCGCTCGAAGGTCTCTTCGGGGTCTCGTGGCAGACAAAGGCCGCGCAAACGGACAGGCACCAAGTTCGTGGTGCCAGACGTTTCGTTTTCCAAGAAGACCTGGTCCCTGATCTGGAAACAAAATCAACGTGGCGTTCGACACCGCCGGACTATGCCCGCTCGCTGCAATGGATGCACCATTTGGTCCACAAAGTCGCGGCCATCACTTGGCACTGAGCTCGGGTTACTATGCTTGATCAAGCTGTCCATTGCAAGCGCACGGAGCAGGAGATCGGCGTCCAGGCAAATTGGAAATTCCGGGGCCGCTCGTGCTCAAGTACACTAGGTCCTGCTCTGTTTCGCCGGCACTGATGATCAAAGATCTCGTTGGAGATGTTGCGAAAGAGTTCGATCCTCAATGCGCTCGCGAAGATGATGCCATTGATGACGCTGAAGATCAGGATGTGTGCCTCATTGAGTTCTTCAAAGCTCCCGAGATGGGGACTAGTTATGAGTTATGAGTACAAGTTCCACATCTGTTCGGCCAAGTCTGTGGAGCAGATCGTGCAAGCTCTGTGCTTCTCGCGCTTAAGCTCTAAAGTTCTTTCGCTGCGTGCGTTTGTTTTCATTGTGCATCTTGTCAGGTCTCGCGCCAGCGCTGGCTTTGGCTCTCGTTTGCACTCTCAGCAATGGTGGGTCACACGGTCTACCCTGACGCAAATCAGGTCCCCAAGCTAGCTTTACGACAGATCTTCGGGAAGCAAAAGTTGCCAGGGGACTTTTGTCTGCTCTTGGCCGATAAAGGCATGCTGGCAATAGAGGGTGTCGCAATGCTCGGAGACACCACCACATCAGTAAAGGTTGAAGGCGATCGTTGGTGACGACGGCAAGTTCGGCAGGGACTTTCGCTTCCGCTTCTAGCTGCGGTCTGGAAATCAGGAGCACGTCTCCTCTCGGAGAGCTAAGATTCAGATGGAGGAGGATCCATCCAAAATCCCGGACTTCCCGGGCGAGGATCACGCGGAGTCTCGCCAGATCTTTGTTGACCAGCATCCAGATGCGATCCTCACCTATATGCATGAGCCGCACAGAAAGGTCGTGAAAAGGATCCACCGTGACTACATGGTGCATGGAGCGGTCGCTTTCTATGAAGTGGCGAAAATGAGGTCGCGCTCGGATCAGGTGGTGCAAACGTCAGGGTTTTCCAAGACCTCTGATGATCTCTTGCGACTTGTTCAGCTGGGCAATAAGATTACCCTCACATCTGAGGGTAGTGTCATGGATCGTCTTCACGCTTCCTTCGTGGTGCTGGAATATCTCATCATCTGTGAATTCACCATGGACGCAGGCCCTTTGAAGTATGTCTCGGAACTTGACACGAAAGCAAGGGGCTAGCTTTGCTCCTTGCGGCCGACTCCCTGATCAGGAACAAGCTCTCCAAAGACAGGCACCGCGAGTTCCCTACGTTTTCTTCAGCTCTGAAAGCGCTGCTCATGATCACAAGCAGCTCTCGACAAATTCAAGCAGCTCGAGCACGACTCTGCGACGTTGCCAAAGCGACCGCGCTCCTCTTCTCCGCCGCTGCGCCTTTCACGGGACCAACCGCCGAAGTCTCGAACGAGTACCCGAGCATCTC